GGATCATTTATCGAGTATTGAAAATAATATAACATGAAGCACAGGTAGCAGACGTTCAAAATAAAACATCAAAAATATGAAAAATGATAATAGGAAACCAACAAAATGAATCACATATAAGACACAGCAGACTGGGGGAATCGTCTTCTTGAGTGCTTGATTTTCTTAGTTATACATTCGTATGAAAGCAGGCAATAAAACGTGAAATACAAGAGTTTTGTACAAGGGGACGTTTGCAGGGATTTGATTGGTTACCGGACTTCATCATGAGCTAACATCGGTTTGGAGAACCATTGGAAAACCCGGGATTACTGGACAGCTGTTTCTTCCTAGTTTAGGACTCTTCATCAAAAAACACAGTGGGGTTTGAGTCTAAAATCTTCCGGTTAACAGCCTACAGCCACATTTGTTCATCAGGTCGAAAGTGAAGACAAAAACTAGCTGATGACATTGTTTGGTGATCACACTACAATCACGAGTTGGTAGAAGTTACAAATCCATAGGCTATTGGATTGACTTCCAGTAGCTCAGTGGTCTACGAGATTGCCTTGTAACTATAGGCCCTGGGTTTGAATCCCAGTGAGTGCTTCCTAATGAAGAGTCTCAAACTAGGACGAAACGGCTCTCCATTACTCCGGGATTTTCCAGTAAATTTCTAGCTGATGTCACCTCGTGGTGAAGAGATTTTTCCAACCACTGAAATGACCTATTGGGACATGAAAGTGTGAAGGTTTTTTTTCGTCAATTTCATGCTCGAAATATGCTGCTACTTTTCAACGTGACATGAAGCTTTGAGGGTGTGAATGCAGATTGCAAAGGCTGTTGGAAAACATTACCTTACTTTAAGCTAGGTGCCAATTGTTATAATTTCTTCTAGTTTTTGAGACGTTTTGGACATAATCGCCAAATAACTCCATTACATGTTGAAGATGTTCCTCAGCAGCATAATTTCTTCGAGAAATATAAATTTGTAGTTCCGTAAAGTAAATTTGATAAGATAAATGCTGATTTCCAGCGAATATGTCAGCAATAAAACATAATCCTGGAATGTTGGGGAGAATTTTGTTGTCTGACCCTTCTTCTCTTGTCACTTTGACATCTTCAAATGCATTGGTAAATTTATGAGTGCTTTCTGCATCAATTTTTTCAGTTATGACGAATGCGTTATTCCCGTCAAGCAAGCAGAATTTTGGTTTGATAGTTGGTCGAATTATGGTTTCCAGTCTTTGCATGAAACTTTCAAAGATCAGTCGTGATATAGATAGTTCAATTCTCGTTCACTTCTCCTCTTCGTGTATCTGACTATATTGAAATAAAAATACGTTGTAAGAAAAGAATGTATGGGCTCAATCAGATTTGAATATTATAATTTTGTGGGTTAAGGAAGACAGTCATTACTATGGTGTAGTTGTTACATGTTCTCTATTGCCCGTTTTCGTTCACTTAAAGTTCATAACATTGTACAGTCGAAGGATACCACGATTTCACTGCTATCTGGTTGAATGTTCTGAATTTTTTCTATAAATTTGTTTGACTGTTTGGTGAAATGGCCAGGGAGTTCTGTTACATATTTTAGTTTTCTTAGGAATTCTTTGGACAGATTGTACGTTGGAGTGCCTGATAATGAAGATGACTAGTCGTAGCAGGATATCTGCTGTGTATAATTGAGGTCAGCCATAAAATCAAGATGAAACAGGTCCGTTACACTTCATAAGCTAACCGTCAAAACATAAGAAATGTATTTTTCCATATAAGTACCTTTAGACAACTATGGACATCGGTTCGACTGAAAAAATGTGAAAATTTTAAACAGTAGAGATACTAAAAAAGAATTCTTAAAAGCCTCATACGCAGACAGTATGCACACTGACATACATCACACTCATCAACCGATAACGAAAAGTGACATGATCAGTACGAAACTTGACTATCACGAGGATAACAAAATCTCAGTAGACAACCATTCACGGCTAAAGTCACCAGGAGGGACAGTTATATCAGTCATGAAGGGTCTCAAAAGACTCATTTCAAACTGGAATAAACACTGAAGTTGTTAGTTGGAAAAACAATGAAAACTACACAGTGAAATCACCCAGCTCATAAAACACAACCACATGAAAAACATACTTATGCTACATAAACATATTTTGGCACAATAAGCTTATTTTGATCCTTCATACTCATATTTTGGCATCAACATCAAATTTACGTTACAATCTGTAAAAAAGCAAACATTGCATATTGTATGACGCAGTTTATTCGCATTTCAACCAGAGGTATTTTACTATTTTTTAAAATATTTTTTATTTTGATTACAGCTTGATGCGACACCGTATTTTCTGCACAAGCATGGAATTTTCAGCATGGATACCGGTAGCCCAAATTTTGCAGGCCGACCATAGATATCGGGTGTGCGTCGGCAGGGGATCGAACCCCGGACCATGTGCATGGTCGGCGAGATTCCTAAACACTGTGCCACCGACGCACAGTGGTAACTACTACTCTGTGTGTCATCGAGATTCCCAGAAACATATGACTGAGACAACGGTGATGATTTTGAGGGTATTCGAAATTAATCAGACAAAAATGATAACAGACAGGTATAAAGAATTTGGCAAATCTACTTCATTGGAAATACCTCCTTGGTGATTTTATTACCAGTAGCTATAAAGCATCAATTACTTATACACTATCGTGACTTCAAGTACTGCTTTACTGAGCATACTGAGATAGATAGAATTGAATGGAGTTGATAAATTCTTTAAAAACATAGTAAGAAAATTTTGCAACTTCGACAAGGTATGAATATTAATCACAAAGAGTAAAGAAATGAAAATTATACAGCCATAATTGTGAAATAACTTTTCCAAGAAAAGGGTGTGATTGAGATAAACACGGAAACGGGGTTAAATGATTTTTTGTAGCTGCAGATGAATAAGAAAATTAAAGGAGGCGAATGAAAACCAAGACAAACTAAATCATACTGAGTCTACACAAACCTAGCTCCTACATAAATATGCTAAGGGCTTCTGTACAGCAAAGAATCCAGAAGCACTCTGTCTGCGGGGGGAATTTTCCTCTCATTTAACGACCAGTAGGTTGAAACTTTGTGACAGTTTCTGACGAAGTGCTTCTTCACAGAGCTGCTGGTCATACTAACTGCTGCCACCTCTTTGGAGTCATGCTGGAAACAACCTATATATTTAGTTTCTTCAGATCTGGTGGGCTAAAATACATACACTGAAGTGGTCGTATGTGAGAGTTTGCATTCAAAGCTACTTAGAAGCACTTGATGATTAGAGAATACCACTTTTAGGTTCGTTGCAGAGATTGCCGTATTTTAAATAACTAACTATTCCGCACTTTAAGAAGTCTGTCGCTAGTTATCTCCTAAAGTTCAGATTCATGTGCAGTATCTTCTTGGAGACTTTAGCATCCTTCTTTCTTTTAGGTTTTGGTTTGATTTGTTTCTCCACAAACTGGATAGGATGTCATTTTTCATCTTGGATTTTCCTGAGAAGCAAGAACTCTACTTCTAAGCAATCACAGACATCATTCTTATACAATCGAAATTTATCTATTATTAGCTTTAAGATGAAGTATTCTAGATTAAACACAAAACGGTTTGCTAAACATTTGTGAAGTTTAGTGTATTTTGGGGATTACTAATTGCACTGACAGCTTTTTGAGGGTAATCATATGTATATTAGGTCGAAAGTATAGCTTAAAAAACTGCACTTTGAATCATTGTCTTACTCAACGAGTAGTTTTCGGTTAAATAGGATCATTTTTGAAGAGTTAGGAGTGGTGAGACCTAAACAGAACATTAAACCTTTAAGACTTTTGCTATGTATTTTGGGTCCTCGAAATTCTAAAAATCAACAGCTGGAGACTGTTGTTGCCACAGCTCAAAATCTTCTGTGAATAGTCATATATGCCTTGTTATTTTTTAGACTGGTTAACTCCCTTTTTCACCTTATCACTCTTTCCTCCGCACATTTTCACTCTACTTCTTTTCTCTACCTAGATGTGTGCTCCTGCGGATTGTGGTGATTTCAACTGCTGCCATTTTGCGCAAAAATTTAACAGTACAAATAACTGTGAAATCTTTGCATAATTCGTTATCTGTAAATACAGTAATGATATCTGTAATTTAAGCTGGAAAAATGGGTTCTTTGTTACTTTATTTGTATTCTGCTCTGAACAACTTATCAAAATAGAAACATTTCTACATTCATCAGATTTAAGATTACTTTTTTATCCCTCTGTAGATTGTCTAAAAGATCTTATAAATTCATATCTCCTCGGAAGTTTTATGTACTTCCATATGGTATCTTAGCATGAAGCAAATATGATGACTAAAGTACTTCTGTTCTGTGAAGATGTGAACTCCACATTTGCATCTGTCTGACATACAAGCAAAAATGAATTTTAACTGGCTTTTCTTCCTGTTTAAAAGTTGAAGTTGTTCTACATTCGAGATAAAGCTGCGTAGCATACAGACACCTAGATGGCTAGCAAAATGAACAGCTATTTCATCGTGCTTCGGCAGCTTACAGAAATTCAAATCCACTACTCTACTGGAAACCATACCCATGCAAATCGGGTTATGAAGAGAACATCACTGTCAATGGCCTATGGTTTCTCCAGATTCTATAAACTTGTGATGTGTCGCCATCATTGGGACGATGATGAAAGAAGCGGGAGGAAAAGAACATTTTGGGAAAAATATTTTACTCATTTATTCATGACTCTGATAACAATAGTATTACATTTACAAATTGATGAATTTCATCTGAGGACGTATCATTGTCTGTGAATTTTCGACTGAATTCAACACTGCAATACATCAAAATAGGTAGTTTGATTATTACAGCTGTATTTCAAACAGAGAGGCAAAGATGTTGCATTTACACAATTTCGTATGTCACATGTTTCAACAGGCTCTTTGCCTCAGTATACTACTTTACACCAACTTTATTAATTTCCATACTGCTCAGAAAGAAACGTGTTTGTACAAGTAAATCCAATAGCTTCACAACATGCTAATCGTTTTGAAAAGTTGATATTTACTAGAAACAGTAAGCTATATAGTCCCAGCACAGGTCTGACTAGTAAACTACTACTAAACTAGTAAAAAGAAAAAAAATGGCGAAATACGTGGAACAATATATGATATGTTAGTGGAAACTTATCATTCACAAAAACCAATATAATGGTGAGCACAGGATTACATCAAGTTGAATAGCAAACAACAGTTGTGGTTTTGTATGCTAAGATATTGGACTTTTAATACGTTTGTTCCTTGAATTATTTTCCAAGCCTTAAGGAGTTAAGATCTTCTCCTCTGCATTTCTCCACTCTGTAAGACGTTTGACGTTTTAAAATTAAAAATAGTTAACCCAATAAACTTCCAACAATTTCATTTTATTAAAATGTTATAAATTCAGTTTATTGTTTTCTAAATTAGGAATACAGACAATTCTTTCATTTTCAGTTTGTAAAATGACAGCCTAAGGATATATGCAGTGATCTTTTGATTCTGTTGTCCATTATATCAAAAGAACTTGATCTTTGTTGCACAATGAATGTGCAATTCATTCTCAAGAAAGAATTCTATAGACAAACAAAGAGCTTACCTACGGCTGCTTCACAAGATATAAATCTGTCACCTAAATCTGAACCTGTGGGTCGAATGCTCTCGAAGACATTTTCAGAGATAACTTGATCAGTCTTTAGCTTTCTCAAGATCTCAGTTAGCTGTTTTTCTGTCGCTTCGGTTTTGTCTTTCTCTTTTTCGAATGCTGAGAACTTATTGTTGTCTGTCCGCTGAAAGCAACCATCGACAAATTCTTCTTATACAAAAGGTATGTCGATGATACTTTCGTCATCTGCGATCACAATTGTGATCAAAATATTGTTCTTCAAGTTTTCAATAGTTGCCACCCCGCCATCAAATTTACAATCGAAGTAGAAACCAATGAGACAATCTCCTTTCTGGACGTTCGTCTAAGTAAGAAGACCGATGGTACCTTGAACAGACCAGTACACAGAAAACCTACATGGAACGGTCAGTTGACAAACTTCTACAGTTGGGTACCAATCAGTCGCAAGCGAAATTTGATAATATCTCTGGCGACCAGAATCCGAAAAATCTGTAGTCCAGAATCAATAGAAGAAGAGATCGCCCTCTTAAGGAAGACACTGCTCGAGAATGGCTACCCACCCCGTTTTATAGACAAGCACATTAAGCCTAAGACGTACAAAGAACAACCCATTACAGTGCAGAAGAAGATGGTCTACATGAATGTACCCTTCAAAGGTGACCTTCTGGCTGACACCTTGAAGAAGAGGATATCTACTGCTCTCAGAAGGACATTCTTCGCTGCCACACTACGACTGACATTTTCCTCCCGGCCATTGTTCTTCAACTACTCTAAAGATAAACTATCGCATTTGACCACTTCCATGTGCATCTACCAATTCACCTGCTCTTGTGGAGCGAGGTATATAGGTCGTTCGATGCGTGTTTTATCTAAAAGAGTTCAAGAACACTATCCCGCCTGGCTACGGAAAGGTAACAACGGAGCAATAAGGAGCGCCATTATTGAGCATATACTCAACACTGGCCATTCGATTTGCAAGGAGAAGTCGTTCAAAGTCATCTATAAAGTCAAAAGAAGCCTTCCAAAATCGACAAGCTTCCGTATACTTTGTATTGCTGAAGCCTTAGCGATTTGGATGGAAAAGCCTGAGTTGTGCACACAGAAGAAACTTCTCCACCCCCTCCTACTACCGTGGGTTTAATTCCAAGCTTTATTTGTCACCAACATTTTGTTACCAATTTTTTTTTTTGCAATTTTCGTATAACAATTTTTAGTAACTAACCCATTCAATCTTTTCACCTATTATCTAGTTTATTTTCATAATTGTCTGCACTAGCATCTAATCTTTCTAGACATGTCCATATTACGTAACCCTACTCACATCTTACCAATCTTCACCCCACTTAGTTACAACTTTGAGTATTAATCACACACTTTGACTTCTTCATTATTTTGATGATGTAACTCTACTCACATCTTACCAATCTTCACCCCACTTAGTTATAACTTTGAGTATTAATCACACATTTTAACTTCTTCATTATCTTGATGATATAATCAACAACCCACACTAACTGTTATTTTGTTTTTGACAAACCTAATTTACACACACACACACACAAAATAATTGTATATATATTTGCGACTGTACAGCTAAGTGAATGAATTCGCCGAAAAGAGACTCTTCGCTGAACTAATTTGTCCTTAGTCTGAAAAGCCATAACCCTACCTTACAGTATAGATTTACAGAAAAATTACCTAGAGAATAAGTGGAATACTGTATCTGCCTTCCCTTAGTTCAGAGAGGCAGGCATCAATGGATTTGGAGTGATCTTTCATAGCATTCCCTATATCTGATTAATTCTTCAAGGTCAAGTTTTAGAAGACCTTGGCTTTGGCTATGATGCTTTTACTTCACCACATAATGTTTACTTGTTTTAACAAAGTAAGTTTAGTGTACTGTATTTGTAAATATTTGTTTTACTACTTGCTTTGTATTTCAGCAGGTATTAAGCCATTTAAACATGTTTTGGTCCCACGAAGAAGAGGTTTCCAGTTAATACTGAATCACTTGCATGACTGTCTCGATGCTTTATACGATGTGACAACTGTATTCGCAGATGGAGATGGTTATCCATACGACCATGGCATACCTGCACCAGGATTAACAGGTGGGCTGAATTTTTTTCATGTTTCTCAATGATAACTTACAGTGAAAATCTAATTTCAGTACATGCTAAAATATTCTTTTGCATTACCTCTACATATTTGTGGTATGTAAAAGTAGTAGGCAATGCAAACCTTGTTAAATATGTGCAACTAATAAACGTATTATTACTCTGTTAATCTGTAATGTTAACGCCATATATTCTACAGCAGTTCACATCAGAATTGACTAGCCTATCTTATGCATACCTCCTGGTAATAGTTGCTTCAGTTATTACCTGAAAAGCTGCCGTATCATCTCTTGTTACTGGTTAAACCAGCATTCTGTGCTGCGTATTCAAAGTGTAGATTACATTCTGGAGAACAAGAAGTAATTTACTACATGTAGAGAAACAACTGAGAAATTTTCTCAAAACTCCTAAAATGATCACAAATCACTTTATGAAAAATGAATGCAGATGTATTTCTTGTTTTCTGAAGAAAACACTATTTTCTAAAGTCATTTGATCATATTTTTAATCATTAGGTGTCTGTCATGTGCTATTCCATAAAACTTTCATTTAGAGGTGTTTTTCCATTTAATATTGGTATATGTTTTCAACAAACGTAATCTAATCTTTGTTTACTAAAATTGGTAGACAAAAACGAGAGAGAAGATTTTCTGCATTCAAAGTAAAATGTACATCTAACATGTTGGTAGTGTGTACTTGGAATATTTTGATTTCTGCTCATGACTTTCGGAAAATTGAATTTTTCCAGTGTCTTCTCAACTATATGACTGTAATGTCCTATGCAGTACCTCAAATCTTTATAAACATAATTCAAAAGCCTTATGAAGATTCTACATGTCAAGTGATCCACAATAGAAAAAAATTCAGAGAAGTCTTTCAAGTGAAAACAGGAATAGGACAAGGCTGACTACTATTACCAGTGGTATTCCTAACTGTGGTGGACCGGAGTCTGCAGAAGATTTATGTCTAATGTAACATTTGTAGTAGTGTAGTGTTACAGGCGAAATCCAACAAGTTTGCCGGAAATGCAGGCAGTAATTACAGAACTTTAACTGAACACACGGAAGACGGAGGTGACGAAAACAACCAAACCATAACAACAAGTACCAGTCACCATCGGAGGATAAATTTGAAAGAGATTACTTCTCTCAATTATCTAGGAAGCGTCGTTTCAACTACAGAATATGTCCAAACCAGAATGGGAAGGACATGACAGATACACCATCAGTATGAAAACCGTTTGCACTCAGCATTAAGAACGAAATTCAGAAATTCTTCGAAAACATTAAGTCAGTCATTTCTTCTGATTCAGAAACTTGGTGAGACACGAAAGGCACTTCCAGCTGGTCACTACAGACTCCTGTCAATAAGTGCCTTCACTTCATATTGAAGATCAAATGACCTGAAAAGACTAACAAGAGGAAACTCTGAGAACAAATTAACCAAGAACAACATCGCTCAACAAATATGCAGGAGGAAGTGGACCTGGATTGGACGCACGCTGAGGAGACTGTCGAATGACATCAAGCACCAGATCACCACTCAACTCTAACTCGAATGGGAAACGATGAGTTGGCCATCGGTTTGAGGTTGACGTGGATGTGGTCGTGTGAGGAGGCGATGAGAGACTATGAGCAATCGTGAAGTCAGCTAAAGGAAACCACAGAGAATAGGACAAAGTGGAGATGAGCTGTTGTCGTCCTTCGTTCCGGATGAAACGCAAGAGGACGATAACAATGATAACGTCTGCAAATTCAAAGTAGATAAGTCTGTCTGAAACTCGAAACTATCGTAGTCAACAGACGAACAGTATAATGGGATAAGAAAGATGACATTGGACATTCGTGAGGGACACCGCTTTCTTGTCATTTAATTTTATCAAATCTCAGTACACTGACAGCTGCATAAATTGGATTAGACTGTCTAGCATTCAAAATGATAAATGTGCTTGACAGTGCTTGGTATACTTTCTCAGTATTTCAATAATTAACTTCGAAGGAGCTAACCAACTCATGGATTAGCTGATTTATTTTCACTTTATTCTATCTGTCCTGATGAAAATCTCTTTCAATGTGGTTTCTTAATTATTTCGGAATTCTGGATAGGATTTGATTTGTTAATTTGAATAAAATTCAAAATAATTTAGCCTGTCATGTACTCTATGACTTTGGTATTCTTCACTGTGGCGCCATCTGCAAACATTTGCTAATGTGAATTGGTTAATTTTTTTGTTGGTTATATGCATGTCGTATTTTAACATTATCACTGATATCCACTTTCTTGAGTGTGTAATATTTTAATAAGTTTAGCATTTGTAAGTGCATATTTAAATAGTACAGATTCACACTGCAACAGATAAACAGGAGTATGATGAAAAGTGTATTCATGCAGTGTATTCATGATGATGCAGCTCTTCAGAATCTGAAAGATGACACAGATATAAAGTGTTTGTGTGTGCGTCACTGTGAATGATTTCATTCTTAGTGAAAATAACCGCCAATTACTGATTGTAGAGAATTGACATGTAGAGAATTCTCCTTAAGCGACTTAGATGATAAGTTAATGCCTTCATGAACACTGATGACAGCATATTACTATTATCATCTTTAATCTTTTCTCCTATTCTGAATAATTAGTCGTTGTGAATTGTTTTGTTTTTCTTCAAGGTTTAAAAAGGCATCCTGTATTTCTTCTTTTGCATACATCCTGTTATTAGATTGGTTGAAGAAACCGAGAAGTTTGCATATATACTTGAAAAGAATACCAATAAAAGATATTCCACAAGACAGTGAATCAATTAGTCGATGGCTTTATGAGCGTTACAGGATCAAAGATGAGTAAGTTGTGTCTTTTGCAATAGCAAGTCTGAATTATGATTCAGAACATAGTGCAACTGAATAATGTTTATAGAAATACTTTGTAGAAGATGAGCTTTTGTAGCCCAATGTTCCAGCTGAAACCCAAGGGTATGATAATGATGAAGAAAAATACGACCATTATAAATAAGTAGACCGTAGATTTTACGGATTTCCCAGAATAATTTTACAAAAGCACGTAAGCGTTCTAAGTTTCTTAAATAAAAAGGTGCTACGTTTTGCTCCTCAAGTTATACCAACATGGACCACTGAACAAAACAGTATCACATTTCAGGAGACTAGTCAATATGCTACTGTTCAAGAGTGACTATATTACCTATAAAAGTAACGAACTTTCTAATCTTTGAATATTTTCAATGTCACTGCCAATAAATTACGTTCTTCATTGATGGAGGAGTTTGAGGGAAATGCAAACGTCGAAACTGATGTCTGAACAAAATAAGTTAGTAAAAGTGGCGCTATTTCCAAACAACTGAAACCTGTGGAAAAATGAAACTCTAGACACTGTCTCTGAGACATTTTTGATTTTGTCGACTGAACTATAAATGAAATATGTATGGCAAATGCATGATAGTACTTGTCATTGAATCGAGTAAGCAAATATTCCTCTTACATTGGAAAAACATATTGTTTCTTCTACACATATATAGAAAAAGACATCTTGAATATTTAAACAGTCTTTATATGTTATTTTTTCAAACTCGATTGTTTATCAAAAATATTAATATATATATAAGTGTACAGACGTTTATCATTTATCGTGAAAATGCTAAAACATTCCACTGAACACTGAAAATTATGTGATATTCAAACATATACTTGATGAAGTAATATGATGTGCCATGGCAAGTGATTACAAGTATTTTTAGACAACACATATATGATAAAAAATAACTTTAAGAAATTCCACCTTACTAATAAAAAGTAAGTCTGTCAGCTTCTTTACATTAAAGCACCAAAGTGTATTTTTTGTCAAAAATAATTTACACGATAATATGATATGTATATTTTGAAAATGTTAATTTACTTTGAAGAAAGACGTGTACACTGATTATCCATCTGTACTTACACTCTATATCGCATCCAGTGTGTAAAATTAACGGTCTAACGAGCTTGTTATCAATAAAATTGAATATATATATATATATCAGATTGCAAAATGCATGTACAATTGTCCACCTATAGATCCAAATAAACCTATGCCGAAATAGGTGATGACTCCGTACCAACCAAACCCAAATATCCAGTAAATTGTGATACCATACCATATTAGTGCGGACGGCAGTAGATCTATGAGACGAAAATTTGCAATTTCCAGACAGTCTCTAGACATTTCACTGGTAAAGCATTCAAGAAAATTCTTTTGAATAGTTTGAAAATCAGCCGTCAGATCTTGCATTCTTCCGTTGAGATTGACACTATGGTTACTCAGCGTGCTGTTTTTGTTTCTGAATATTAACTGTGATTTGTCTTCATGGTAATTGACATGATTGTTATTCATTTGGCTATCTGACAGTTTTGAAATACCATAGAATCGGTTTTGTACATTGTCAATAAAACTGTGTTAAGAAATGAAAGATACTTTTCGTCAAAATCAAATCAAATATTACCATACGGAATAATGCTGTTAGGAAAAATACCTGTAGTTTTCAGGGATAAGACACAGCTTCACAGAATGACATGTTACTTACTTTTGTGCTTCCAATGCGTATTTGTACCAACTTGGACAAAAAGCTGTTAATATGTAGATGTGTGAATTTGTGGGGGCTTGTAGTACATTATGCCCAGTAACTATAGGTATTCGGCATACACCTAACCAAAATAAACTGTGTTCTAATTTTTCTCTTATTCGCAACTTCTAAACAATCATCACAGGTAAAAGACTAGGGAAACAAGTACAGTAAATAGCCAATAGACGTTGGAGACAGAAGTGTATTACTATAATCAGTAATGGTAGTAGCATTAGAGTCATCTGGATAACCCTGTCTTGTCTGCTGGTTGACTGCAAACCCCCAAAATGGGGGTTGTTGACATTGAGCTGACAATCTAACCTTGTAGAAAGCAACCACACCTCTACTGAAGCTTCAAAGCACAGAAGAAAAAACTTCTTCACCTCAAATAGATTATTTATTATATTTTTTGCGTTCCGAGTAGAATATAGGTCTTCAAGCTAGAGCTTTAAAGTGTATCAGTGGTGTTTTTATGGTGTGGAGTTTCTAGCCTCACGCCATACCCTCCCTCAGATTTAAGGATTATAACCAGCTAAGTGAGGTTAAAATTTGCGCCGGTCGGTACTCTAACCCCGAACCACGTACATGGTGTGCCAGAACTGTACCGCTGAACCACCGACGCACGCCTGCAGTAGAAATAATCCTCAATTTGAGGACCAGTGAGACTGGGGGGTA